TCACGGCGAAGAGAATGTTAGGAGGCTGTTGTAATAATCCAGGAGAGGAAGGATGATGCCTTGGGCTAACATTCTGACATTAGGAAACACTTATAGAACAGTTGTGAAGGGACAGGCATCACTCATACTTTTAATGCATTGTCTCTTATTGTAGTTGTTAATTTATTAATGTGGCTGTGCTGGTCTTATTTACAGCACATGGGATTTTTTTTTTTTTTTGTAATTTTATTGATTTAGCTTAGGCTGTGTTGGGTCTTCTTTGCTGCGAGGGCTTTTTCTAGTTGTGGTGAGCAGGGGTACTCTCTAGTTGTGGTGCACAGGCTTCTCATTGTGCTGGCCTCCCTAGTTGCAGAGCACAGGCACGGACTCTAGGTGTGAGCACTCAGTAGTCGCAGCTCCCTGGCTCTAGAGCACAGGCTCAGTAGTTGTGGCACATGGGATTAGTTGCTCTGTGGCAAGTGGGACCTTCCTGGATCAGGTATCGAACCTGTGTCTCCTGCATTGGCATGCCTGCCATGTCTTTACCACTGAGCCACCAGGTAAGCCCAGCACACAGGATCTTAACTGCAGTCTGCAGGATCTAGATCCCTGACTGGGGATTGAACCTGGGCCCGCTGCATCGGAAGCTCAAAGTCTTAGCTACCAGACCACCAGGGACATCCTGTGTTGTCTTTTAATTTTTACAGTTATGTGAACATTCTTCCCCCCACATGATGAAGGTATTATTATTATATTAGTTTTTATTATAAAATCATATTTGTGTATGTTTTTATATATGTCTCTACACACACACACACACACATGCATATTGTGGCTGCACTGAGTGGCTTGTGGAATCTTAGTTCCCCAACCAAGGATTTTACCCACACCCTCGCAGTAGAAGCACAGAGTCCAAACCCACTGGACCACCAGGGAATTCTGAAAGTATTATTATTACCTACATTTTAATTTAAAGAAACTAAGGCACAGAGAGGTGCAGTGACTAAAAGACATATGTTGGCAAGGAGTAGACCCAGCTAGTCTGGCTTGAGAAGCTCTTAAACCCCAGTGCCCACCTCTACTGTGCATTATGTGCCACGACAGCCTCCTTCCCTGGCATCTGTGGGATCTGGTGCTTTATTAGACATGGTGAGTGTGGAAGAGCTACAAACAGTGTGACTCCCAGCTTTCTGACTTAGCCAATGGATGGGGTATGTGGCAGTGCCGTCAGGTCTTGAGATGGAAAACAGGAGAAATGGTCTGTGGGGAAAGGCAAGGTGTTCAGTATCAGATTATTAAGGTTAAGTGTTAGTTGCTCAGTCGTGTATCACTCTTTGTGACCCTATGGAGTGTGGCTCACCAGGCTCCTCTGTCCATGGGATTCTCCAGGCAAGAATACTGGAGTGGGTTGCCCTGCCCTCCTCCAGGGGATCTTCCTTACCTAGAGATCAAACCCAGGTCCTATATTACCATTCCCAAGGTGGACTCCAGTATTCTTGCCTGGGCAATCCCAGGGCCAGAGGAGCCTGGCAGGCTACAGTCCATGGGGTATCAAAGACTCCAAATGGACTCAGCAGCAACATCTGTGAGGCACCCATGGAGGGATTTCCAGAGAGTGTTCGGCCACAGGGACTTGAATCTCAGGAGTATGTCTGGGTGTACCTTAAATTCATACTATACTACTAAGTATTTTAAATGACCCAAGTTTATTCCTTTTTTATGCCTGAGTAATATTCCAATCAGCAGCTTCTTGACAGGCATCACCGAGTACAATTTAATGGCAGAAACCAAACAGGTCTCTGGTTCCCAAGAGAGAAAGTTTGCCCCACAGTGCTCATTCCTACTGGGGATGCTGAACCACAGCTGCACGGTCTGGCCCTCTTGCAGCTTCAACCTGAAACTGGCAGCTGTGTGTTAGAACAGCTATTCCCTATGGTCCATCGTGGAACAGGATTGGGATTCTCTTGGCAGGGAGGCAGTTTCCACCACGGACCAAGGCCTGTGAGCTGAGTCCCACTACAGAACAGATACCGTACTATGAGTGATTGCGAACACTGCTCCCTAGTACCATGGTGACCAGCACTTATGAAGAGTGGCCAAGAAGAAAGTGGCTTTCGCATTTGTTAAGGAAGATTGGCACCATCTGAGCTTACCATAAAGCATATGGGGAAAGTGCTGATCATGTGGACTCTGTGAACCAAAACTGCATGTCATAGTCCCAAGGGCCATGATTGTGAAATGAGTCTTGCTGCAGAGGTACTGTGGCAGTTAGAACATTCAAGCTAATTACTAAGAGCATTCCAGACAAAAACTGCTTGAACAACTTCTTTGGATTGAATTTTTTTTTAAAGTTTGGCCTCACTCCAAACTTTTTGAAGTCATGTGGGATCTTAGTTCTCCAACCAGGGATCGAACCCACGACCCCTGCATTGAAAGGCAGAGCCTTAACACCTGGACCACCAGGGAAGTCCCCCCTTGGATTGAACCTTAACCTGAAACAAAATGTCAGAAATGGCATGCCATGGATGGTTCAAGACTGTGTTCATTACTGGCTTTATCTATGCTGTGTCAATATCTGTTTCCTGACGCTGCTCTAATAAATCACCATAAACTGGTGTGCAGAACAACATGAGCTTATTCTCTTACCGTACTAGAAACCAGAAGTCTAAAAGGGGTCTTATTTGGCAAAACCAATTGGTTTGCAGAGCTGTGTTTCTTTTGGAGACTCTAGGAAGGGAGAATCAATTTTTGGCCTTTTCTAGCTTCTAGGGACTTAATGTGGTTTTGGGGGGGGGCTTTTGGCTTCTGCCTTACCTCTCTCAGACCTCTGCTTCCTTCATCACATCTCCTCTGACTCTGACTTGCCTGCTGCCCTCTTTAAGGACCTGGGTGATTTCATGGGATCTGCTGAGGTTTTCCAGGTTAATGTCCATATATCAAGTTCTTTATTTAATCACATCTGAAGTGTTTCTTTAGCCAGGTAAGGTGCCATACCCACAGGTTCCAGGATTAAGGATGTGGCTGTCTTTGGGGTCAATTATTCTACCATGGTAAATTTTTTAAAAAGCATGATCGGGTTCAGAAGGCCTCCTATGCTTAGCACCTAGTGGTCTGTCAAATCTGGAAAATGATAGACCAGATTTGTGATCCTGACCAGAGAGGTACAGAAAAATGACTTGAAACACGTGGCAAATAAGATGACACCAGGCAGCATGTGAAAGGCTTACAAGAGGCTTGCTAGTCTATTTATCCTTTCCATCATGTGTTTGTTCTGAAAAGGCACAACTTTGAGGAAAACTAATGGAGCTTCATAAGGACACATAGTTCTGGAAGAGGATCCCTGGAGTTGAATGAATTGATAAATATGAGCTTGAGAGAGTCAGTTCCTGGGCAGGTTGATAAGAAGTCTGGGGTCCCCAAGGAGCAGATAGGAGTCTGGAGTTCTCAAGGAGGAGAAAAGGACACTTTTTTTTTTTTCTACATTGCTTTCTCATAGTTAATGCAACATTGTATCCTGCTTGAGGACATGTTTCCCCTTCTTGAGAACCTTCTGACTAATCCTGTCATCTTAAAATGTATATTATGGGAGTGGGTCTGTTAAGACTTTTACAGCCTTGAGACATTCTTTTGATTTATTGTTAATAACCAGTTGAAAAGTATATAGCTCCGTTGTGAAGACTAGCAAGGGGGTCACTCTCCGTCTCCCTTCTGATGTCTATGTCAGAAGCTTTCTCTGTCCCTTTTTATACTTTAAGAAAACTCTGAAAAAAACGAAATAGCTGATTAAAAAAAAAAAAAGAAAACTCTGCTACATATAAGCTCTTGAGCGATCAAGCCTGGTCCCTGGTCCCAAGCTAAATCTTCTTCAGAGATCCAACGTATCCAACATCGTTCATCTGTAAGCTATCAAGCTCATGACGTGAAATCTATTCAATGGTCAGAACTTATCATTGGAGACAGATAAAAAGTCTTGTGCATGCATGCATGCTAAGTTGCTTTATTTGTGTCTGACTCTTGCCCAACCCCATGAACTGTAGCCCACCAGGCTCCTCTGTCCAGGGGATCCCAGGCAAGAATACTGGAGTGGATTGCCATGCCCCGCTTCAGGGTATCCTCCTGACCCAGGAATTGAACCCAGGTGTCCTGCATTTCAGGTGGATTCTTTACCATCTGAGCCACTAGGGAAGCCCAGTGACAAAAATTTACAATAAAGGCTATCTTTCATCTATTTAATTTCAAAGTCCTCAGGACTCACTGATCCGGGGGCACTTAAGTCTCCCAGGCTAATAGCCTTCCTTGTATGTGGGCTATTTCTGCAGTGATTAAAGGAAGCACTGGAACATATTTTCTGTGGCAGTGATTCAAGGGTGACCCAGAAGCTGACCCAGGACAAGGTTTCAAGTCCAAGCAAGTGACTCAGAGGGAGAGGACCAGCAGGGCAGTGGGAGAAGGGGTGAGGAAGAGAGATAACCAGTTGCCTATGTCATCCAGTGAGATACTGTGGCATGTGACTGGAGATTAACCTCAGGAGATTAACGTTCCTCTAGAGGAAGCAGGTGGCTGACACCTCTCTGCCCCAGGCACCATCATTTCTTGGCAATTCAGTGAAAAGCAAAGGAATCTAGAGGCAAGAGAAAGCTCCCCTGGCCACAAAATGCAGATCTGGCAGTTCAAAGTGATGGTCTAGTGAAGTGGTAAAGGCTGGGGGGCTGGGGGTGGGCCTAACCTCTACACAGCCACTTGAATGGTTTCCTGGGGAGGCTTTCTCTTCCCCTGCACAGCTGTTAACTTTACCACAGTTAAAACTGGAAGAACCAGACTGAGGCGGGCATCAGCATCATGCTACTGCAGTTATATTTTAGAACAAAAGGAGATGATTACCAGAGACCAACTTTTGGTGTCTCAAAACATTCCATCAGAGTCTGCACTTGGGAGTATTTTGTAAAATGACACTTACATGATGTCAAATGAAACAACGGATTTTTTAAAAAGATCTTGACAAGTAATACTGAGAAGAAAGGCTAGTAAGCATAAATTTTCACATTGTGGACTTCCTTGTCATCGCACTCCCTCTGTTTGTTGTAGTAATAGAAAGTATTGTCCCTTCTCTGAAGCTTCTTCACATATCCTGTCTCTGGCCAACGATCTACCTGTACATCCAAAACCAAAACACAAATATTGTAACGGTCCTTTTATATAATTGTTCACTATCACTATCAAACATTTAAAAATGCAAGTCACATCAAACAATGAAAGCACAAAATTAAAAAATACTTGAGCTCTTAGTGATGTCTTACACTTGTAGACACATAGACACACACACATAAAAAACACACATACAACACACTTGTCTCACATTGTAACCTTATAGTGAAGGATAATTAGTTCAATGCTTCTCCCTAGATCCCAATTTCTAGGTTTAAATTTCTACTCTGCAGCCAAGATAAAACATTCATAATAATCTAAGCTTTATTCATCTTATATTTACAAACTATTTTAGGCATTATTACTTACTAACTTCTGAAAATAATACCTAAGGAGGGAATTAGGGCTAGGCCGAGGCAACAGGAAGAAGCTAGCCTGGATGTCTATAAAGGTGAATGTGTATCTCATGTCCATATTTCAAGTGCACACCTTGAAACTCAATTTTTCATAGAAATTTGAGGTAATGAACAAAGTCTTCAGCGATCTCTTCTTAGCTTCTCCTCCTTAGTTTTTCTCATTTGCCATATTGGTTTGCTTACTTGATTGTTTGGCTTGATCCAGTTTGGACCTTTTTTTTCCCCTTCCTCTGTGAATTCACATTATACCTTCTTGCTCAGGTCAGTGCATTTCTGCTCTGGTTAGATATGTTGCTTCTGGATGATGTGACATCTACTCCATCACTGTCAAAACCCAATTATTTGGATTTTGTGTTCATGGCATTCAAAACCAAGTCCTGTTCTTCAACATCATCTCTACTGGCAGCTACTCACTCTCCAGACTTATAAATCACAACTTCCAAGCTGGAGTACAAAGGCTCCACAAATATAAATGAATGTACATCTTTTATTTTCTAACAACGTATTTTTGCTTTCTCCTGTTGTCTCATTTATTTAGGAGTTAGCAAGAATGGGTAGCAGCCTATCTGATGAACCCTGGCAGGCTCTCTGACAGGTACCTCACACAGAAAAGTGATGTTTTCCATCACTTAGGTCTAGCCTGTTTGACTTTGTGGTTTCTGTTACCCTCAGCAGAGAAAGGAAGAAGTTCTTGAGACACCATTACTGCTCTCTTCCTCTTGGGGCCAACAGCAGGCTCTCTCATTTAATAGGGTGCCCCAACCACCTCATTCAGTGAAGAAGCAGTAGACCGCTGCTGCTTTAGAATTACCCACAGCTCATCATGTGGAGTGACAGAGGAGACAGGTGGGCCCAGGCTGGGCAGCTGCGGCCACCTCTCCTGCTGACACTTTGAGGTAAGAGACCAACAGGACGAGAGCCCGGACTGGAGTGGAAGACAAAGCGACCACATTTTCTCATTCTTGTGGTCAAGGGGATTTCCCAGCTGGACACATGCACAGAGGAGGTCATCAGTCTCAGGAGACAAAAGAGGGGGAGCCACCAGCTCACAGTATGTCCTGCCAATCTCCCAGATGCCTTTGTGCTGGAATCCATCTTGGGTGAGAGATACACATGCATCCACCACGAAGGACCTTGAGTAAGACCAAATGTGGGCACAAACAAGATGGGTAGTCAGGGATAACCCAGGCGACTGCCCCCTACGTCAGCGATCTAAGCCACCCCTATTGGGTACAGCTCACTCTGAGCCTGCCCGGGTGTTCCTGTACAGGTTCTTTGCTTCCAATAAACACTTTATGTATTTCACAGTCTCTCTGCTGAATTTTTCTTCAAGGAAGACAAGGACAAAGGTCCTGCTTCCAGCTGCCTTGTCCCTGGAAATCGGGAGGGGCCTCCAAGTAGCTATATTGGTTTTGTCTCATCAACCTCTAGGCTTTTTTCCTTCTATAACCTTTTGCTGTTTCATAATTTTTCCTTCTTGGCTTTCTACCCATCACTCCCATTCAACCTAGGAAAACTTCATTCCTTAGAGAATGGTGGTGGAGATGGGGTTGGGGGCTTGATATAGTCCTCAAGTCAGTTCTCCTTGGGCAGGAAATCAGTAAGTACTGATGGTGTCTATAAGGACATGTACTTCAGATAAGAGCAAAGACCATCGCTCAAGCCCTTCAGACTACTGCCAATCAAAGCAAGTCTTTGGTTATCATCCTGTCCATCCTCTATAGCCCACTGCAAATGCCTCTTGGGGCACAAAGCCCTTTTGGAAGATTGTCCCTAAAGGAAGAAATTTTTATCTTCCTCTAATTTGGGGGTGGGGTGGGCATATATTTTCATTCATGTAAGTTTTCATTGTTCGTCACTCTTAATCCTCCACTCCAAGATATAAGAATAATAAGAGCTATCATTCACCAAACACCATTCACTCAATGAATTGCTGAATCAGGTATTTCCAATGCTTGATTTCATTTAATTTCTGAGACATTTTTCCAAAGCAGGCTCTAGCATTGCCCTTTTACTCTTGAGCTTGGCAAGGTAAGCATGAACCTGGTTCAGGGTTACCCAGCCAAGGAAGAGAGCCAGGATGCAAAACCTGGGCAGACTGGTTACACATCTGTACTCTTTCCACTGACTCACTAAATTTCCTGAGGTCAGGCACTTGATTTTATATTCATCTTTTTAAAGCTCCTGGCACAGAAACTGGTACAGAGCAGGTACCCAAAAAATATACACAGAAGTGAAATGCAAAGCATCTCTGTAATTGTTCAGTCATTCAACGGATAGTGGTGTTCTTCCCTTCATTATACACACATACACACACAAATCCCTCAGGTGCTTTTCGGGGACTTCCTCTTTAAAGATGTTCTTTGTGCTCCCTTAAATCTGATCTCATGTCTGAACTCAGTCCCAACAGTTTCTGGAATGGTGGTATAGGTGCGGGAGTGCCTGTATGTCCCTGGGTCTTATATACTTTTCAGGGGCATCCTAGTGTGAAGGCAAGGTATATGGAGCTTATTTCTGACCTGCAGTAAAATGTTAATGCCTGTGTTTTGCCTATTTAAAAGCCACAGATAATAAAGTAATGAAAACTCCCTTTTGGTAATGTGGACCAAAGTGTAAAATGCTACTAGAATTGGAAAAATGGATATAGGAAGGTCACAGTCATCAGTCAAATCCTCATTTGATCAGTATTTTTAATTTTATACTTCATCACTGCTTCTCTATTAAGCTAACGTCCATTAAACAAAAGAGTCTATTACACTTAAGCTCTGTGTCGCCTTCATCCTTTTTTTCTGTCTAGTTTTTAGGAAATGTTGAGTAGAGATCAAGTAGAATGAAGAAAGGAAAAGAATAAGGGGATCTGGAAAACTTGCCCATGAATGAGTCTCTGAAAAATAGTGAGTTAATAATAGTAAAACAATTTAAAAATAAACAAATAATAAACACTTTGTGGTAATATCAACTCTAAAACCTAATATACATTTATGAATACTATATCATACTCTATAATAGTCCTCAAAACTCAGTCTCCCCATATTCAGTAGAATAAATGAATTTTTAAAAACACATTGTAAACTGGGGCCATATCTAGATTTTGTCTAGTCTTTGAAAACCAAAACCATGTCTCCACTCTCCCAAAAAAGCCTGGAGTAAACAGCCAAAGTCAGGAGATTTTGTTGCGTAAGGCAGAATTTGGTAAGTCAACTGATAAAGAATCCACCTGCAATGCAGGAGAACCACTTTGATTCCTGGGTTGGGAAGATCCACTGGAGGAGGGCACGGCAACCTACTCCGGTATTCTTGCCTGGAGAATCACCATGGACAGAGAAGCCTGGCGGGCTACAGTCCACGGGGTTGCAAAGAGTCAGACACGACTGAGCAACTAAGCACAAAATTTGCAGTTGAAATAAAGAAAAATACAGGAAGGAAACAAACTGAACATCTGATAAGAGAACTTATCAGAACTCTCACCCTTGTGAGAGAAAGAGACGGGGGCTTTTATGGCCTGCCATAAAGGATTTGACTGGCACAGCACAGTTGCTCAGTAAAAGCTAGAAAATTTTTAATGTTTCTGTGCTGAGACCTCTTGCTGCAGTCTACCTGAAAATCATTCTTCTGAACCTTAGTCTCTTTATCAATAAAATCAGGGGGTTGGGGTAGAATTCCCTTTCAGTATTCTCTAGTGCTTTGTTGGTGGTGGGTTTTCTGTTTGTTTTTATTTTTTAGTGCTTTTCACCCTCTAACAAATTCATTTTGAGTTCAGATTTGTAGAGACATAAATCTTACCATAGAAACTTGCTTCACTTGTTTATATTCAATTTCATCTCGATATCCTGCTTGTTGAAATCTGTACAGATTTTCTATCTCTTCTGACCATTTTTTGGCACGACTTATTGATTTTGGTTTCACGTCAGAACTAGCCATGGCTACACAGGTCTTCTTACCAATTATTTCTGAAAGATGTTTAAAAAAAGTTCATTAGATAACACAGTAGTGACAGTTTTGGAAACCCCTTTAAGAATGAACCAAACTATATCTTTTAAAAATTAGAGTTAAGAATCCCATTTAATAGTTAGCTTTTTAAACATTCAATTCCCAAAGTAAGAAGGATTCATGTTCTATTTTGGAAATAAAGTCAATCCTGGAGTGATGTCTTAAATGGTGCAGACTGATTCTGGCATTTCAAATAATAGTTTACACATTTCTGAAATCCCTTTCTTATTTTGTTTTTAATTTTATTTATTTATGTTTTTGGCTGTGCTAGGTCTTCTTTGCTGCACAGGCTTTTCTCTAGTTGCAGTGCAGGCTTCTCATTGCGGTGGTGTCTTTTATTGTAGAGCATGGTCTCTAGGGTGCACAGGCTTCAGTAGTTGCAGCATGTAGGTTTAGTAATTGTGGCCCCCCCCCCCCCCCCCCCCCGGCGACTCAACAGATGTGGTGCACCAGCTTAGCTGCTCCAAGGCACATGGAATCTTCCCACATTAGGGATTGAATCTGTATCTCCTGCACTGACAAGTGGATTCTTATCACTGAGCCACCAGGGAACCCACCCCTCACTCTCTTATTCTTAACAGCTCAGGAGATTGTCAAAGTATCCTACCATCATTTCATTTAATCATATTCAAAATTTTATCTCCCTCTTTTTCCCTTAAAAGGGAATGTAAGATCAGTCTTCCTTTTCTTCTTATGGGGAAGCAATGGTTTCCTCCTTTTTCTTTTCTTAACTGTTCAGAAACATGCCACTCACTGCAGCTCAGTAACTCAGGTCACTGTGCTCCGATGTGAGAAAATGGACTATCTATGCTGTCGGTGAAAGCTGTCTCTCTGTCATGGTACTAAGATCACTGATTTTAAAACAACTTAGGAGCAAGACAGCTAAGATGGCGGAGGAATAGGATGGGGAGACCACTTTCTCTCCCCACAAATTCATTGAAAGAACATTTGAACGCTGAGCAAATTCTACAAAACAACTTCTGAATGCTGGCAGAGGACATCAGGCACCCAGAAAGGCAGTCCGGGGAAGGGAGTCTTAAAAGAGAGGTTTCCAAACACCAGGAAATACTCTTACTGGGGAGTCTGTGGCGAGCCTTGGAACCCCAGAGGGCAACAGACCGGGGAGGAAAAATAAATAAATAAGTAAAACCCACAGATTATGTGCCTAGCAGCAACTCCCAGAGGAAAAGCAGCGCAGACGCTCGCATCTGCCACTAGGCAAGCAGGGACTGGACTGGGAGGCGGGGGCTGCATTGCTTAGGGTAAGGACCGGGGCCGAATGCCCCAAGGGCAATCAGAGAGAACTAACTAGAGATAGCAACCCAGACTGTGGGATAGCTATACCGCGAAAAACCCTAAGCTAAGACACCGCCAGGCCCGCTCACAGAACAAAGGACTGAGCAGAGCTAACTGGCTGCAGACTGGCTCATCCCCCGCCGGAGACAGGCAGGCGTGGGCAGCCAGAGCCGGAAGCGGGCATTCGGCCCCAGAGAGGCATCCTCTACCAAACTGCAATCGGGCTTCGTTGCTAGCCAAGACTTCTTGGGATTCTGGACGGTCGACATCCGCCAGGAGGGTCGCAGCCAGAGATCAGCTCCCCAGAAGAGACACACGGGGCACCTGAGAAGGCGCGCCCATTGTACACGCAGAAAACCGAGCAGCTGGGACCGGGGAGGCGATAAGTCGCAGCCTTCAACTGGGGGCGACTGCGCTCGCAAAGTACCTGGTCACCTGAACTGCTCGGACCTGGGAAGGGCACAAAACGCAGGCCCAACCAAGTCTGCGCCTCTGTGGAGTATCCGAGAACCTGAACCTGAGCGGCTTAGGCCTGGGAAGTGCATGCAACCCAGGGCCCACCTCAGACAGTTCCCGGCAAAGCAACCGAGAGCCTGAGCAGTGTAGACTGGGAAAGTACACACACCATGAGCAGGGGCAAACCCAGTGTGGCCGAGAGACTGTGAGCACATGCCCACGATATATATTTGCAATGTTCCTCCCTCCCCACAGCACGACTGAACAAGTGAGCCTAAAAAAGTGACCACCACCGCCCCCTTGTGTCAGGGCAGAAATTAGACACTGAAGAGGCCAGCAAACAGAAGAAGCTAAAATAGAGAGAACCGCTTTGGAAGTGACAGGTGCAATAGATTAAAACCCTGCAGTTAGTACCAACTACATAGGAAGGGGCCTATAGATCTTGAGAAGTATAAGCCAGATCAAGAAACTATCTGAAAATGAACTGACCCCACACTGTCCACAACAACACCAGAGAAAGTCCTAGATATATTTTTGCTATTATCATTTTTTAATTAAAAAATTAAAAAAATTTAAGTCCTCTATTACTCCTTTAATTTTCATTGTTATAGCCTACTATTACTTTGCAAAAAAAGAGACCCTATTTTTAAAGCAAACTTCATATATATATATATATTATAATTTTTGTGACTTTGTTTTTTTCTTTAATATTGTATTTTTGAGACTCTAACCTCTACTCTAGATTTTTAATCTTTGCTTTTTGGTATTTGTTATCAATTTTGTACCTTTAAGAACCCAATCTTCAGTACCCATTTTTACTTGGGAGCGAAATTACTGGCTGGAGTGTTCTCTCCCCCTTTGGACTCTCCTTTTTCTCCACCAGGTTGCCTTTATCTCCTCCCTCCCCCTTCTCTTCTCTACCTAACTCTGTGAATCTCTTTGTGTGTTCCGGGCTGTGGAGAACACTTAGGGAATTGATTACTGGCAGGATCTGTCCCTCTCTTTTTGATTCCCCCTTTTATCCTCCTGGCCACCTCTGTCTCCTTCCTCCCTCTTCTCTTCTCTGTGAAACTCCGTGAACATCTCTGAGGGATCCAGACTGTGGAGAGCACATAGGGAAGTGATTACTGGCTAGCTTGCTCTCTCCCCTTTTGATTCCCCCTCTTCTCCTCCTAGTCACCTCTATCTCCCTCCTCCCTCTTCTCTTCCCCATGTAACTCTGTGTACCTCTCCGGGTGTCCCTCACTGTGGAAAAACTTTTCATCATTAACCTAGATGTTTTATCATCAGTGCTGTATAGATGGAGAAGTCTTGAGGCTACTGTAAGAATAAGACTGAAAACCAGAGGCAGGAGGCTTAAGTCCAAATCCTGAGAACACCAGAGAACTCCTGACTCCAGGAAACATTAATTGATAGAAGCCCATCAAACGCCTCTATACCTACACTGAAACCAAGCACCACCCAAGGGCCAACAAGTTCCAGAGAAAGACATACCATGCAAATTCTCCAACAACACAGGAACATAGCCTTGAACTTCAATATACAGGCTGCCCAAAGGAACACCAAACCCACTGACATCTCAAAACTCATTACTGGACACTTCATTGCACTCCAGAGGGAAGAAATCCAGCTCCACCCACCAGAACACTGACACAAGCTTCCCTAACCAGGAAACCTTGACAAGCCACCCATCCAACCCCACCCACAGCGAGGAACCTCCACAATAAAGAGGAACCACAGACTACCAGAATACAGAAAGGCCACCCCAAACACAGCAATATAAATAAGGTGAAAAGGCAGAGAAATACCCAGCAGGTAAAGGAACAGGATAAATACCCACCAAACCAAACAAAAGAGGAAGAGGTAGGGAATCTACCTGATAAAGAATTCCAAATAATATTAGTGAAAATGATCCAAAATCTTGAAAATAAAATGGAGTTACAGATAAATAGCCTGGAGACAAGGATTGAGAAGATGCAAGAAATGTTTAATAAGGACCTAGAAGAAATAAAAAAAGAGTCAATATATAATGGATAATGCAATAAATGAGATCAAAATCACTCTGGAGGGAACCAACAATAGAATAATGGAGGCAGAAGATAGGATAAGTGAGGTAGAAGATAGAATGGTAGAAATAAATGAAACAGAGAGGAAAAAAGAAAAAAAAATTAAAAGAAATGAGGACAACCTCAGAGACCACTGGGACAATGTTAAACACCCCAACATTCGAGTCATAAGAGTCCCAGAAGAAGAAGACAAAAAGAAAGACCATGAGAAAATACTTGAGGAGATAATAGTTGAAAACTTCCCTAAAATGGGGAAGGAAATAATTGCTCAAGTCCAAGAAACCCAGAGAGTCCCAAACAGGGTAAACCCAAGGCAAAACACCCCAAGACTCATATTAATCAAATTAACAAAGATCAAACACAAAGAACAAATATTAAAAGCAGCAAGGGAAAAACAACACACAAGAGGATTCCCATAAAGATAACAGCTGATCTTTCAATATAAACTCTCCAGGCCAGAAGGGAATGACAGGACATACTTAAAGTGATGAAAGAAAAAAACCTATAGCCCAGATTACTGTACCCAGCAAGGATCTCATTCAAATATGAAGGAGAAATCAAAAGCTTTACAGACAAGCTAAAGCTGAGAGAATTCAGCACCACCAAACCAGCTCTCCAACAAATGCTAAAGGATCTTCTCTAGACAGGAAACACAGAAAGGGTGTATAGACTCTAATCCAAAACAATAAGTAAATGGCAACGGGATCATACTTATCAATAATTACCTTAAATGTAAATGGGTTGAATGCCCCAACCAAAAGACAAAGGCTGGCTGAATGGATACAAAAACAAGACCCCTATATATGTTGTCTACAAGAGACCCACCTCGAAACAAGGGACACATATAGACTGAAAGTGAAGGACTGGAAAAAGATATTCCATGCAAATAGAGACCAAAAGAAAGCAGGCGTAGCAATACTCATATCAGATAAAATAAAATTTAAAACAAAGGCTGTGAAGAGACAAAGAAGGACACTACATAATGATCAAAGGATCAATCCAAGAAGACATAACAATTATAAATATATACGCACCCAACATAGGAGCACTGCAATATGTAAGACAAATGCTAACAAGTATGAAAAGGGAAATTAACAATAACACAATAATAGTGCGAGACTTTAATACCCCACTCACAACTA